GTAAGGACCTGGACAGAGAGACAAACTTCTTGTTACAAAAAGTGAGTCAATATTCTTTGACATTTCTTTTATTCCACCACATGCCTATACTTGTTTCCAATATACTGTACCTTTTTATCTAAAACAAAAAGGGAAGAGCATTTATTGATACTATCAAGAACAAACACAGCACCCTTCATGGAGTGCAAGAACTGTAGAATTCATATATCCAGCCTTACATCCAATCTTTGATTTTAAAGTTATGCCATTACAATGGTGTTGTACAGTCATTACCCTCTACTTACAAAACATAAGCAGGCATACTGACCAGTTGTCTGTGATGAAAAATGTAACATTCTAATAGATCATGTTGTGTGATAAGTGTGTTTGGAAAGAGTCACAAGTATTTGGATGATGTACGGAAAAATGAAACTTTCCACTGCTGTTGGATGTGTTCTTGTAATCAAACAGCAGCTTTTCACACTTTCTCCACTGTCCAATGTACTCTGTGTGTGGATAAAAACCACACTTACTCCTTTGCAGCAGGTATAAAAAGGAGCACAAACACACTCTTATTAAACACTAAAGTAGAGATTAATTGGTACTCATTACTCCTTCCTTTTTAGGAAGAAAATAATTCTTTCATGATAAAAAAAAATAATTATTTCATGATAAAAGCACAGCCATTCAAGAATCTTATATTTTCTCACCCTGCAGTTTCTAGGTTACCAGATTAAAACTGGTACATGTGGCTGTTGAGCTAAGTCTGAGTTAGAGGTTTATATGCTACAGACTGATGGTCTTTGTCAATTCCTGGAGACTAAATATCTCAAAAAACCCCACTACTTCTCATAGCATTGCCCATTTGACTGGAGAGCTGAACACGCATGAAGTTAATTCATTTTCTGATAAATTCAATACAGAAATATGATTAATGATCCATCTTTTTTTCCTCTTTGCCATAAGCAGGTAAAGGTCTTCACAGACTGCCTGCACGTAGCAACTACTAAATAAATGGGTGCCTGAAGGCTGTATTTTGTACTTAAATTATTGCTATAGAGAGCACTTTAAAACACTTTTGTCCTCCAATACTCAATTTCAATCCCTCCTTCTAGCAAAGTCCTATTAGCCCAGAACAAAACTTGATTAGAGTTTTCTGCTTTGCAACAGGATTTCTGTGCATGTGTTTTGAAATGAAGGATTTTCCCAAAATGTCACGGCAGACTTTTTTCTAAACAAAAAAGAGCAGCTATTGTCAATGTCTAACAAATTTCTTTGGTTTGTCAATATATTTTCAAGCTTTACTTGTAGCTTTTGTGGAAAAAAAAGAAGAAAACAAACCCAGCAAAAAACCCCAGCAACAGAACTTTGCATAGACTTGATATATGTGAGGATCTGGAATCACAGCCTGTCACAGAGAGTAATGGCTAAATATTTACTCAGTAAAACAGCAAACTCCATGCAACAAGAAATTCTTCTTTCTTTTTCCTTTACATAGGCAGATAAAATTGTTTTAAATTAATATAGCCACAGACGACTTAAACTATCAATAATAACATGTAGCTGTTTAAAAAATGGGACTATTCAAGTTCCTTAGCACCATTTGATGATTTATTACGTCTCTTTCAATTTCACCTTTTCTGCACCAAGTGACTTAAAAATCAAAAGTGCCAGCATGCATCAATCTATAATATTCACAGTTAAGATATATTAGTAACTATATTTAGTAACGCTGTGTGCTATTTGTTCATAGAGGCGAGTATATTGTTATCAAGGGTGATTTTTAAAAAATGTAAGTCATGGTTACAGTTATATATTCATAACACATCCTCAGAACTCAAATGAGAGAAAGAGCCTTATTTTCTTTCTTCTATTTTATAATGCACTAATGTTAAGTTCCATTTGTACCAGCTGCACCTGGTTACCACTGAAGACATTTTGTTGCCCTCCATCTCTTCACAGCTCATTAGCTGAAAACAGAGAGCAACTCTTGGGTCAGGAGCAGATGTATTATCTGTGTGCCTTGCACATGAAGAAAGCCGAGACTTGAACAGGGTCCCATGGGGTCCCTGGGTCTATTTAAAGGCCATTGTAGTCTCTAGGCAGGCAGCTCTACCATGTGTTCCAAAAGACAGTTTTCCTTCTGGTGGAAACACTAGGAGCTGTACCAAGTAGTCTCAGTGGGGCATCACTTAGATTATCAACAGGCATACGCCAGGAATTAAAGCAATTCCATGAAAACAGAATTTTCTGGCAAACTGTTGGTGCAGTGTCTGCCTGGTTCTCATGGAGCTTTTCTGAGGAACATTTGTGGAAGCTATGTGAATACACTAATGTTACAGCAATATCATCTTCTGTTCTGGAATGGCACTAATGGCAGCATCCAATGGCTGCTGAATACCTTTGTGCTTCAGGTGCCAGGTTTTCTTAGACTGTGTTGCAGGACACTGTGAAGTTGCATCTTTATTTTAAACTTCCAGTGTGCTTGTGTTTAGTCTCCATAAGAAATAGGTTCCCAACAAGTCAGATATGCTTTTGATTGGTTGTGTTCTCCAGCTTTGTCCTGGAGTTCAATATTCTGTGTATTGCTACAAAATGAGACCTCACAGTTATTTTCTGAATGTATGAGTTGAGAGGATGGTTTGCAACTAAAGCAAAATATTCAGTAAAGCTGCTGTACACAGCCAATCCCACCTCCTTCCATTTTTTTGGTGTTTTCTTTGAAAATAGCATCTACATTTTCAATAACTACACAATATTCATGTACTGCATAGGAAGACAGCCACAGACAGCAATCGTTCCCCAGGAAATGGAAAGAGCATATTATATAGATCTTATGTTTTTTATCTAAACACAGTTAAAGTACTAGGTTTAGGATTTAGGTAAGTTCTTAAAGTTCATGGGCAGTGGAACTATAAAGCAGTTCTGGTATTCTCCTGTTTAGGCTTTTCCCCACTTTGGGACTATGTAGAATATGTAATTATTAAATGCCTAGTATTCAAGTCACAGATGAAAATGGACACAGCATTGAAATCTGTAGAACATATTGAAAACCTAATATAAAGAGTTTTAAAGAAAATATGTATAATTTTAGGGCAAGTGGAAGAATCCCAGTTGCAAAAGAATAAAAATAACTGACCAGTTCCTCAAAAGGAATATACTCGGCAAAGCTGCATGGAATAACAGAATTACACCAGCAGGATATCTATCCTTTCATATCACATTTTTCATTTAACATTTGCAAACTGGAAATTTTCCCTAAACAAAATGTCAATCAAATTTTTTTCTTAAATGAAAGTGTGAATGAAGCTTCCTTGATGGGTACAGCTCAGAGAGCACCACAGGTACAGCTCCCTGACAGCGTGGGAGAGCAGTTTTTCATTTTAGCTTATCAAAATACTCTCTGCAGGGAGCTGTTCTATTCCTGAGTATGGCAGCACTGCGAGAAGGAAAAGAGGTAGCAAACAAGACAAGGAAAAAGGGGAAAAAATAAATAATGGTGATTGTGGTGGGGTAGAAGTGCTCCATTCAAGCGGATCACAATGCTTTTTTTATTCAGCAGCTGTTCACTGAGGTGTAGAAAGCTGTAAGTCTGCAAGGTCTCTTTGCCTGGAAAATGGTTGGAGAAAAGCTGAACATACTGTATCGGTAAATGTTTAATCAAAAGCAGAAGTTTCTTCTATACCTTTTAATACATATATATATATGTGCATATATAAAACAACCCAACAGCATTTTTCAGTTAAATTATGGTACATAAACTCTATTGTTTCATTGGAAAAGAGTCTACGTGTCTCCTCCTTGATACGTTTCCTCAACTTGTCCTGAGAAACAACCAATGAGATGAATCCCTCTGGTAATCATGGCAATTGTTTCACACTGGGAACAGAACACAAAGCTGCTCAGATCATACAAGAGGGCAGATTTTTCTCCTCACAATTTCAAACATTTCAGGGCATCGTGAGGAGTACATAAATGTTTGATAACACTTACAAAAATCTAAATGTCCAGAATAGATAAAACTCCTTCCCCACTTAGAGGTATGCCTTCCAACTTATTCCCTCGTTACTGATTACAAACACCTACTACAGTTGATTTTTCAAAGACGTCTTCCAAAGACAGAAAACTTCCATTGAGATGTACTCATCCTCCTTTTGAAAGTAAACAGATTCTTGACACATGATCATACAAGATACAATGTGCATCTAAAACAGAAATTTGAGAAGGAAACGGAGAAAATCAAAGTAACGCTGACCAGAAAGACAAGACCAGAGCTCAGCTCTACCATATCTGGCCAAGCCGTGGCACAGGTGGTCGCCAGCTGGGGATGTGGCCCACTTTTATTTGCCTGAAAAACAGTTTTCCCGCTTTTTAAAGTCAGGCTTGCAGGCATGGTTACCTAAATAATTTGCAAATAAGAAGACATCGCAGCAGCTTTGAGAACAAGACTGTGCTGCTGATATGGACGTTCACAGCTCTCAGGGGCATCACGAGAATTGCACTGGTATAAGTACACGATGAATTTGTGCCCTGGGAATTTAAGATTAGAGCTGGACCAGGCAATAACCTTACCTTAACACATCAAACCCTATTCCCAACAAAACATATCAGCCTGATATTCTAGTATGTGTTGGTGTCTGGCTCAAAAAACACCCAACCACCCTCTAGAGTAGTGAGTGAACTTGCTTGCTTCTGAAGGTGACCCCCAAAGCACTGATGCTGCATCTGGAGTTGGTGACATTTCAGTGACTCCAGTGGGAATCAGTAGGCTGCAGCAAGGACCTAAAAAGGTTACGGGTGAAGACAGGCTGGCGTGCTGGTGGAGGCGGGAAGGAAGGCCCCAATGTCAAATGCGCCATCGTGATGGAGCCCCAGAAGGAACCTTCTCCGGTCATGCAGAAACCCTCACATCAACCAACACAGTTTCATTTGTTTCCACCACTTTTTCACAACACGAACATGTTCCCCTTTCTCCCTCCCCCCAGCCCCCCAAACCCCTCCTTTCTGAACATATTGACAAAAGGAATGGCAAAATAAATAAATAAAGACTTAGCCTCTGCTTCAGGGAAGCCGCCTCTCCAGGTTTCTGCATTGGCGGTGACCCGGCTGGAGCTGGTAGGCATCAGTTTTCACGGCAAATGGTGGGTGTGGAGGGGGCCAGTGGCTCCCTGGCCCTGGAGGCAGGCTCCAGGCTTAACTGTCTGTCTCAGCCGGACGCCCCCGGCTGTCATTGCACCAGCCCCGAGCCGTAGCTGAAGGCATAGCTGCTGGCCAACGAGAGGGACTGCTGGTGCTCCTCGTCCTGCTCCGAGGGGTAGCTGGGAAATGTCTGCGCCCGGGACACCTTTGCTGAGCTGAGGCTGTGACCTGGAGGGAGGGAAGACATGAACACAAAAGATGTAACTGGGCTTGAAGCCTTTCACCACCGACATGGACTCGGACGGATGAAGTTCATACAGCCCCACTGTGCCAGGGTGCCTGGAGAGCAGCCACGCTACACTGGGCCCTCCTGGGGCTGCAGAAGAAGGTATTTCGTGTGACTGAGGGCACAAGTGGTTGACAGATTCCCGGCAAAGGCAGAAGATCCCAGATCCAACTCAGGCATAATTTAGGGTCAGAAGTTTTTTAAAATTTCAGAGTTTAACATCTGTATCTTTTCTACTCTGTAAGTCTCAGTCATGTTAGAGCTGACAAATGCTCCTCTTTTTTATCTGAAGCACTGCTTAAGTGGCAGAAGTAATGCCAGAAGTTTCAAAGGGATTAGTCCCACAAATGCCAATTCTTGTACTTACTGTCTTTCAAACAGGATGCAAATTTATCAGGTCAACACAGCATCATTGTCATTCCAAAATGCACTGGAGGTGGAATATGGTGCACACGGCACAATATTGGTTGGGGAGAGGACGTGAAAGATGTTTTTTCAGATGGGCTTGTAAATCTCATATAGCCATGATTTCCATTAACAAGATGGGAAACCATGTGTGAAAAGCCAGTGACAAAACTCAGGTGACTCTTATGACCCAATTCTGTAACTTGATAATTTTACTATCTCAGAAAACCCTTTTGAAATTGAGATTTAATTAGTAACAAAAAGTAAACTTCCAAAGTGTATATCTTCATGCAACATATATTGTCTTTTTATTTTTGAAATGTATATTGAAGCCTGGATTTAAAATGGTTCTGTGTAATGCTTTTAAAAATGTCTTTAAGATATGTATTATCTGTAGGAATGCAAAATCATATTTTAACTTAAACCACAGAGCAATGATCGGACCAAGAGAGCAAAAAACCCCAACTAAATGAAAAATAGAAAAAAAGGTACATCTTAGTGACACTGGAGGCAATAAAACTAGAAAATAACTCCCACTGACATGTCAATTGTCATAAAAATCCCTTTCATAGCACAACCAAACAGGATGAATTTTTTAACGAATTTTTACTATTCATTCACTGGGTTAAATCAACACTGGCTATCAAAACTTGACTGAGATGAGAAATTGAAATGTTTTCTGCTTCAAAAAGCTTTTGCATCAAACTGAATTAAAGTGTAACAAGGCAAAAGCACTGATAATGTTTGAGATTAGTTTAAAGGTTTTATTGCTTTGACCAAGTTTTAACCACGATATTAAGTAAAGCCTTCATTCATTTTTTACTTTTATTTGGGATTTGCATCACTGTTATTGTCAGGGTTTTTTGTTTCTAATTTAATGCAAACCTAAACATAGAAAGCTGCAAGATTGGTTTTAATTTTGTGTTCCATATCTGGCATTTTTCCTTCTAAGGATGTAAAACCTTGTTTTCTTTTTACCCAGAAGCTAAAATCATTGTATTCTAAGGGCTATAAGGAATGGCTAAACTAGCCGTGTGATTTCCTATGTAAAATTTGTCTCTTTCTTACTAATAAAGATAAATAAAATATGTCAAGGTATATATAACTCCATTCTCTTAATGTATTTTATCCAAAAAATTTAAAACAGTCCCTGTGACAACAATCAGAAGTAATGAAACTTACCAGTCAAGGGAGTTCCCTAACCCAGGCCTATTTTTGTCATATGCTGTATCTCATATAATTAATTTTGAATTCACTTTTGTAGAACAGTGCAACTTTAATACAGTGATGAAGAGAGCCCCTAAACCAATTTCTAGCTAAGGAACTAAGAGAGTCTCTTAGAATGTACATGAATTTGACCCTATTAGGGTTAAAAAGGAAATTAAATTCAGCTCTTTCATTTCCTGTATATATGCCTCAAATGTTAGCACATCCTGTACTGTTCTTTGAAAGAAAATTTGTAGCTGCTAAATCTCACAAAAGGGCTGATTTTAGCCATTCTGTAATCAAAGTGGTTAATGAGGATAAGTGACTTCTTCTCTCCTGACTGCTAGGATATGTAGCGAAAGAGCAGAGAGACACACAGATCCAAAAAATTTAAGGCACGCTTAATAAAGCCAAGAGGTCTAAGACACGTGGTTGATGTCAATTTACGAAAATAATAGCATAAAAAATAGACAACATTGGTTCAAATGAAAAGAGAAAGCTATGGGTAATAGAGAATTTGTGAGTTTAGGAAAGAATGGATCTATACAATATATTTACTTTCAACTTACATTTTTAAAAAAGCAATTAACAATGCTAATACATTTCAATAAATGAATAAAAAAATAATCATGGCAAAATAATGTCCAATGGTTCCAAACTGGGCTAAGATTTCTAAGTAGTAAATTCCCAAAATTTAGGGTTTTTTTCAGCTTTTTATCAAAATTCAGTGTATCACATACTGAAAATTTTAAATTATAACAGATTCTTTAATTTGCATTCCTACTAAATATTATTTTAATACTCATACAGCTGATCAGCCTTATAGAATCTTAGGTACTGCAGTGTCTCCAAAGTTAGGCTTTAAGTCAGCAGTAAGGATTTTGAAATTAAAGATACAGGGGAAGTTTTTGTAAGTAAAGAATTAAAGTTTCATAGTTTTCTAAACTTTCGGCTTCAGTCATATTTGGGCCCTAAGAGGTTAAGAGAGAGGAAGAATGCTGTTTCTGGATTTTGCAGCTCTTTTGTACCACAGCTGTTTTCAAGAATGCAAAACCAACTCTTCTCAAAAATTCTTCTGAAGTCAGCATAACATGAATTTGATTAACACACACTTCATGACCTGAGGACACCAATAGTACTGGGAGAGGTTTTCTTCATGTGGTTTACAGAGGAAATATATTTTTTTTTCTGTTCTAGGACAGGACCTTGGAAACATAAGCATTATTCAGCCTACTTCATCCTTTATTCAAATTTACTCTCAGGATTAAAGAATGCAATGGAGCTGTAGTCCAAAGCAATTAGGTATGAATGATCCATCAAGAAAATCTAATGTAACCCAGCAAATTACACTAAAATTAGATTTTTCCTGATCTTAATTATGTTGGAAGCAGAGGCAGTATACACAAGGATCTTATTTCATGGCATGGTGCTTATTTATAACAATTCTTTAGAGGAAAAACCCAATGGTTTCCTAGTAACAGTGGTGACTGATGTACATATAAGTAGATCGATCACAACTTCTGAGAGAAAACTTGCAGTACACAGCTAAATGAAAAGAAAAAAAAAAGAGGAGAAGAGATCCAGGGATAAGCTTTAAAAACTCCCTTACTGCTGCTTATTGGAAGATGTTTCTCTCCATTTTGAATTCAGAATTCAAATTCTTAACTAGAAGGCAGGTGCCGAACATTTTTCTTTTCTAAATGAAATAAAGGTCACACTTTTCTAATACAAGAATTCAAGGGATTCTCATCTGATATTCTTTGGTTAGAGCACTCATCTCTGTAGAAGTCCTGTGTTAAAATTCCCCTCTGCCTGTGGGTATGGTTCGACATTGCATTTTCTATAAAAAATCAGCTGAAAATGTTCCCTCTCTCCTCTCTACCGACGCTGCTGTTCACTGCCCTCAGTTGTGCCATTGCGACGGAAAGACTGTTTCGTAGACTGAAGCACTTTGTTCATCTCTTTTGCAAGAGCCCTACAAATCACTGTATTGGCAAAGCTGAGGACCAGGAACAAGCAGCCAAGCCAAGGGTAAGAAATTGGCAAGGGTTTCTCAGGCTGGTTTTAGTGCCAGTTTGTTTGGCGATTGATGACCTGTGAGCAATATGCAACCAAATACACGTTAATGCAACTGCCACCGGATTACTTACATGCCAGAGGAAGGACCACTTTTGAAATCCTCTGACTAAGCTTTTCTAATACAAGATCTAATATAAGTTTATATTTCTGCAGTACAATGATTAAAAATTAATAGAACCAGAGACTCCTGTGTTTCAGCTTCTGTTGCAGGCCTTTAATTACCTCATATGAGATACTCATTAGTTAAAATAAAGAAACAGACTTCTGCAGCTGCACAGCAAGCTTTCATTTGGGATTTCTTAACCTCTGAACAAACAAAAGGGTGTAGTTCTAATGCAGTTTTATTTTTCTACATAATAATAAAACTAATTTTGAAAATAAAATTTGACATTTTCATTTCCAAGATTATGAGCACAAAACTGAAGTCATTAAATTTAAGCCAATTGGATATTTTATTGGTACTGTGTTTTGTTCTTGGGAGTGCTCTGAGACTTCATGAAGACAAGAGTTCTGTAATTGCTATAGATGTTTCTATAAAAGATATAGAAAAACATGGTTGCTCAAAAGAAATTTCTATGAATCAATAAGTGCAAGCTAAGACCAAATAAAGTGAATCACTAATTTCATTGTAAAGCAATCTTTTCTTTTTAGAAATATTAATTGGAAAATTCTGTTGTTCACAATAAACAGAACAGTCTGGAAAACAGAAACAAAGATGATGAGACTTTATCCTTGCACAAAGGATAGTGCAAGGAGGTGGAAAAAAAAACAATTAGCTAACATATGTTTGAGGAATGAAACATTAGTAAGAAGGAGTTAGTTCTATGTTGTTTCCTCACACAGTTCTCACCGGACAATATAAATATAGCCCTTGAGCCAGAAAAGTTCACAAAAGTAGTACCAGTCTTTAATCTAGATTTGTGTTCTCTATGGACTTTCCCAACAGCAGTGAAAGATCCTATTTATACCAAAGGAGGTCCTCCAATTGTAATGAGGATATTACTTGTACGGGGAAGTATATCTCAAAGTGCTTCAACGTTTGATATTCTTTGCAGCATTTTTGTTAAGACACAGGACAAAGTGGGAAATGCACTGTAGCTATGCACTGAAAGCCCACAAGGGAAAATGAAACTCTTACTGGAAAAAACTAAATTATTATGACTGCTTATTTTAGATGGAAGCTTTTATCCTCCCTTTTTTTTTATCCTCCTTTTTTATCCCCCTTACTTCAATCTCAAATCATTTAAGTGGC